GCTGATATCTACACCTTATAAAACAATGAAAGTTAAATAATAATAATATAATAGTAAATTTGCGTAACACTGCATTAAAAAAATCTGTTCTTTGAATCCCTTACACGAACGCTCTTTCCTGAATGATACAGCTGATACTTACACTTCCCAAAGCAATGAAACTAACTAACCAAAAGGGAGAAAAAAAAATCAAATTTGCAAAAAAAAAAAAAAAAAATGCTTTAAAATAATAATAGTAATAATAATATAATAAAAAATAACTTGAAATTCTTCGAATCCCTTAAGCGAACGTTCTTTCCTGAATCTAGTTTCACAGCTGATACTTACACCTTCCAGAGCTGCTTTAATAATAATAATAATAATAATAATAATAATAATAATAATAATAATAATAATAATAATAATAATAATAATAATAATAATAATAATAATAATAATAATAATAATAATAATAATAATAATAATAATAATAATAATAATGATAATCATAACACCAACAATAATAATAATAAAATAAAAAATAACTTGAAATTCCTTGAATCCCTTACGCGAACGCACCAGGGAAAGCCTAGACGAACGCCCTTCGTGACGTCACACCAAAACAAACCAGGCGAGGCTTAGTAACAATTTCGTCCCCGGAGAAGCAGGTGTTCACGCGGGGTTTATCGAGAATGCTGACGTGGATACTATTATAAATTTTCTTCTTCCTGGTTGTAAGTGTATTTGGTAATGGAGTTATACTATTATATGTAATGGAGTTATAGTTATGGTAATGGAGTTATAATGGAGTTTACCGTCTTTTTTTATTGAGGTGAGAGTGGGTGTCGTGAGTGTTTGCTTTACTTTAAAAAAAGGAGAGGGAAACACTTTTTCATTGGTTCTTGTTGAGTCAAAAAAAAACAAAACAAAAAAAAAACAGTGAGATAAGGATTGAAAGAGCTTTATCTCATTGTTAAGAGCACGTCATTTGGTTTGTTATCTTTGTGGGCATTTGGAAGTATTGTTCGTATCTTCCCTGCTTTAAATACTTTCTAGAATGATAAAATAGAAGACTTTTTTATTTATTAACCACTACTCCACCTATTTAGGTTCCTATTAATCTTGTACTCTGTGAAGTTATTATTCATTTTGCTTCTCTCTTCTTTTTTACAGATTGCCTCACATTTTTATTTTATTACTTTTGTGTTTTTATCTTTGTTTTTGTATCCTGGTTTACTGCATGCCTTTCCCAACCATTGCAATCAGTATCATTTTTAGATACTTATGAAGTAAATAGTATATAGAATAAATAATTTTTGAATTTCAAGATATATGTTTTTTTTCTTAAATAAAATAGTTGTCACAAATTGGAAATAAAATTTATTTGATTTATTGAATATAAAACAGTTTTAAAAGGCAGCTCCTCTTCATATTTTTATTAGTATGTGATTACCATGACTCAAACACTACATGAAATATATGGATCAGTAAATTTTAATACACATATCATTAGTGACATTACTATTGAAATATAAATGCTTTAGAGAAATAATGCTGACTGACCTCCTTTGACCTCCATCCTACACTCATAAATAAATGACTCATGTTTTTTTTCTGCTTTAAACAAGTGGTTTTGGGTAATAGCTCATTGCAGATCTATTAAGGCCCTGTTTCTGAACAAGACAGTTATTATTTTGCAATAAAGACAGTTAATAAACTAAATTCACAGTGGGCGTGGCATGTACTTACATTCCATCCATGATGACATCAGGTTGATTAAGGGAAGAGTACATGTAAAATATTTTATGTATAGAGAGGTATGTAAATGTGTGGCTGTATGCTTATTAATCATTGGCTTCATGTTTGCCTTCTTATTTACAGATGAACATCAAAACAGCATGATTCCAGTATCAGCTGTAGAGTGGTGAAGTCACACAAACAGATAATGCATCACACAACTCATCACTCAAGCCTTCAAGCATAATGAATTTCCGTCAGAGAATGGCATGGCTATGCCTAGCCTTTTACCTAGCGACTTCCTTTGCTGTTGTGTACTACTTCCTCGACATTGCTGACCAGTATGCTTTATTTTCCCTAGAACATTCAAAGCTGCACAAGTCAGGGGATTCTGACATTCCACTATGGAAGTTCTGGCACCACATTGGTGATATTCCATTCCCTGTGTTATTGGTACTGTTGGCTGTTCCCTACTTTCAGGTTTTTGCGGCCCTCTTTTACTGCACTCTTCCTACAGCAAATAAAAATGTAAATAAGTGCCTTGTGCCAGTTATAGGTTGGATATATATGTTTCAGAAAGTTTTGACACTTTTCAAAGACCATAATGCTAAAAATACTATGCATGAAAACTTACATGTAGTTAGTATGTCATGAATCAACACATTTTCAGGGAAAGTTTTTTGGTACACAGATGTAATGATTTTCCTCTAAAATGGAGAGTTTTGAATGAAATTATTTTCCACAGGCAGTTATTAGAGAGATTGAATTGTATGAATTATATTGAATAAGAGAAAGACTTTAAAAATGCAAGAGAATTGTGATTTCCTCCCATGCTGTCCAATATTAATATAAATATGAAAGACATAAGATGTATATAACACACACACACACACACACACACACACACACACACACACACACACACACACACACACACACACACACACACACACACACACACACACACACACACACACACACACACACACACATACACACACACACATACACATATTAAATTTACATGTATGTATGTGTGTAAGTATATTTACGCATTGATGAAGAGATTATTGGCATTTAGGTTAAACTAACCGTCCACTGTATTAAATTATATTGATGCATTGTGAACTGAGCAATTGAATACATCTGTGATGATCCAGTAGGCGGATAATTGTTCTTAAGTATATTTGTTTTGACATCAAGGAAGCAATATATATATTTATATGGAATTTTCATCAACTCATCCACATATACATATGACATATGTATGAGATTAAGTAGAGGCATATGCATATGTGTACACCATCCCTTACACACATACACGTTCACTCATGTATTAAGTCATGTTGTTCTTTTCCCATCTTTCTTTCCTCTCTCTTGCACACCCTTTGATTCTCCTGCATATTCCCCTTCTCACTCTTTCTCATCCCCCATCTCTCTCTCCTCTTTTTCTCTCCTACCCTTTTCTCTCTCTCCCCACTCTCTCTTACCCTTTTCTCTCTCCTTTCTCTCCTTCTCCTTCTCCTTCTCCCTTTTACTCTGACTTCTTCTACTCCCCCACTCCCTACTCCTCCTCTTTATTCTCAGAACCATATTCACACTTTAAAAACATTGCCTGTACTCTCATGTGTGTGGTTAGCATACTGTAACTGTACTCAGTCTGAATTCATGTGTTTTATTAGTATGAGGACTTCTCGTAATTATTTGAGTCCTTTCTGTTTGCTTTCATATGTTCTTGGTATCATTATACAGTAATCTAGTCAGTGTGACAACTTGAATTCCAAATATTTAGAGAAATTTGATATTTAATTCTGAGTCGTTGCATATGGAAAGTGCTTTGCTGGTTGTATTACTGAAAATTGGCAATATGTAAATGTAGATGGAAAGCAGTATATATCATTTACACCTACCAACAGTGTGATTACTGAAAGGTTGTAAATTGTTAAAATTTATATGGGTGGCAGCAATAGTCTTTTATTTTGCTGTAGTAATAACACAAGTAACTGTGCATTTGTTGTTTTTATATATATATTTTTTTATATACAATCTGATGTACCTTCCACCACCAGATGATTGTCGCTTTACGTACAAAATCTATGCCACATCGGAAGCAGGTACATTTTTACGATTTCATTTTGTTGGCCTGCTACTTGAGGATAGTCATACCTCAGATGTTTAAGAAGGCGTTTAATATTCAAGGCAGTTCATGCTTCATTCTGCATTATTTATTGATATTGTATTAGTTATTTATGTACAATGAATAATCTATTCTCATTTTCATGATTTTATTTAATTTTTTTCTCTCTCCAGTAGTGAGTATTGCTGTTTAGTTTTTAATTTTGACAGTGTGCTTGGCTGACTCACCTGTGATAGCTTTGAATGAAGGTAATTTTCACATTTTTATTTTACTTTCAAAAAGTCAAAAACTGAGTTGTAAATGTTATGATCATGTCACTTGAAAATGGAATCAGATTTTCATAGCTTATTGTCAAGCTCAGAAATTAAGACATATATCAGGCCAGGTTTATTGGGCTGATTTTCACACTCTTTGTTGTAATTGTTAATGGCTCAAAATAGGTTCTAAGAAAAAGGGTATGCATTTTATACTTGGGTCGTTCAGTGACAGGAAAGGCTGTTATCTTTCAGTGATTAGAAAGGCCTAGGAGACTGGATATAAAGCTCTTTGACAGCAGATATTTTGGCTGTGCTTATCTTCATTGATGTATCTGGACGCTGGATAACTGTAATTAACCATAATGTTATCTCTTCTATAAACCCTTCTGCCCTGTAATAGTGTGGTAACTGTATGTAGTCTCCCCAAGATGTAAGGGATAAATAACCTATAATTGGTTTCTCGATAGTTATGCCTTTTTTCTTTTTTCTTTTTACCATTTAAAGCAGTTGCATATGACTTTCCAGTGCATCTATGACCTTAAAAGATAGGTTCATAAAATTGCTTACTATGATACATTCCACTGCCACAAAGATTCTTGAAATTATAATAACATAGTAAGAATATGAGTTACCAGGTATATAGAGATCCATATAAGCAGTTTACATGTGGTTGGACTGAGCTTGAATGCGAGTGATATTATGAGTGTGCTGTAAAAGGGTATTAAATTTTTTTATATCTATAATTAAGCGCAGAAGATTTATTTGTTATGATTTCTGTAATGTTAGATGTGGTTTGCTGTTTTGTGTACGTAAACTGGATTCTTATTGTAATAAGTATTTTGGATTTTATGTACATTGAAAGGATTATGATTACAATATTTTGAATGTTATTTTTTTCTGTTTTATTATTTCCTTGTACTCTGGAGATATGTTTCTTTAGAGGATAAACAACATAGGCCTCTAAAAAGAGTTTTGGTTGATATCATTTTCATTTCTGGTAAGCTTTATTTGCAGTATCAAGTAACTAATACTTGACTTTTTATGTTCTCTTCACTTGGTTTATTTCGGAGTAAACGTGAAGTTGATGGAAATATTCTCGTATGAATTGTATATTACTCTTTCTCTTTCATTCTTGTCCATGTATAGTGTCATCCATTTCATATGCTGCTTCCATATAATTCTTCCTTCCTTTGAGGTTGCTATATAAAATCATATGTGGGATAAGATTCTCCGATGTAGAATATATTTTTTATTCACTCGTCAATTTGCCTCGTCAAAACTACAATTGTGCCAAGTAAAAGAAGAGAAAAAATGTTGAGCGAGGTTGCGGTAACTGACACTGAACTATAAAACTTTTAGGAAATTTACATAATCAATAAATTTGTCTTAAAGTTTCATGGTTAGTTCTTCAAAGTATGGTGTGTCAGATTACATTTTTTTTTTCTTTTCACTTGGCCTTACATGCACAATTTCAATCTCCAGTCAAAGTCTTTAATCTCCTAGCCAACTTGCATCTTGTAATAATTCAGACAATTTTTTTTTTTAAACTATAAGCATTTCTTTCACTCAACTTTTGCATCTCTTCTCCCAATCTTCAAGACATATGCTACTCTACTTTTTGTAAATACACTAAACTGTAATTCAATTAAAGTGGCACATATTTCTTACTGCTGTGTGATTATTTTCCCTTTTCATTTTCATTTTGCCTAAGGAACCCCAGAGTCTGTATAGTAGAAGTAATTTGATTTACAATTCACTCACTTTGATATCATTGATATAAACAATACATCAAGAGACTGTAGTAAATTTTAGTTTCATTCTCTTAAAAGCAGCCTACTTTTTTTTTTTCTTTTCTTTTACAAGTCATGTTGCAGAAGGTGCAGATGTATATCACTAGCAACTGTCAAATATGTAGTGTTTTTTTTTTTGCATATATATGGACGATATATTTTGTCTAGTGCTTTACTATGGTTAAGAAATGAGGCAGTGCTCGAGCTTAACCCAATGCTGCCAGGAAAAATGTTTCCATTTTCTTTTTTTTTCTTTTTATGTGAAATGTCTCTGTACATAGATGGGTTTGCTAGTGCTTAGCCACAAAGGAGTTAATTAGTAGACCTTGTGACTTTATGACTGATTTTACCTTGAATTGGCGGGATTTTTTTTTTTTTTTACTAATGCTATGAATATCAATGCTGTTATTTTACTACAGACATTAAAATTACTATAATGCTATAATCATCAGTAACAGCAAAATTAAATAATGTAAAATATTTTCATAAATCAAGGAAAAGGGTAAATGGACAAAACAGGCAGTACTTGTAATTGACTCATTGGTGACTTAGTATAAGTGTAGCCCTCTATGTATAAAAACAGTAAAGTAAACTCACAGTGGGCATGGCATAGGGTAAGAAGAGTTGTAGTATGACTTAATGTGCCATTCTTTCACCCTTTTATCACAGAGCATAGTAGTAGGGTAAATGTAAAAGTATGCAGATGTTATCTTGGATTTGAAATGTAAATGTTCAAAGTGAGTTTCATTTTGGATTTGTAAGTATAATTGGACTTTCATAGAAAGAAATATAACTAATTAACAGTGTTTATAGCTGTTATTCTTTGTTTAATGTAAACTGTACCATTCCAGTTTGTTGTTTTCTTGTTTATAAAAAATGTAATTAGTGCTTGTATTCCATTCAGCGTACTAGTTTTCCCATAGTCTCCTAAAATCTACTAGTCCTTGTTAGAAGGAAATATATCTCATGTGTTAGACATGGCATACCTGATGCAAAATAACTTTATTTTGGAATAAATCTCTATCCATGAAACTTGCTTAAGCCAATGGTGCTGGGGAAAATTAACAAAAAATGGGGAAAATATTGTGCCCACTTTCTATGTTTTTCGTGAAATGTCTGCCGATAGATGGCTCTGCTAGCGCCTGATTTAAATGGTGGGAAAAACGTATTTTTCACTAGTGCTATGAAAATCGATGGTGTTATTTTTATCATAAACATTATAATTTTTATAATTTTTTTTTAACATTAGTAACAGCAAAATAAGATTACATAAAATATTTTGTAAATCAAAGAAACGGGTAAACGGGCGAGACGGGCGGTGCTCGTAACTGGCTCATAAGGGAGTTAGTACAAGTGTTGCCATCTCTGCGTTAAAACAATCAAACAAGTACTCACGGTGGGCATAGCACGTAAGTACACGTCATACCCGGCACCAAGGGGTTAATTGCAACTTTTATAAAATCAAAAAGGATTAGTGACTATGTACGCTAAATATTTAAAATAAAATAAGAATCTCAGTTGGCAGATACTCCATAACAATATCACAGGACTAACTGAATTTCATGTGGATGATTTTATATCATACTCAACAGATTTTGACCCCCTCCCCCTCCCCATTCCTTCTCCTTGTTGTCCTGGGTGTGGGGGGGCTTAGGAGGCAGAGACTGAGGCCCAATGTAGGGGGTCACCATAGATGTCAGCCCTCACCGTAACTAATTTCCCAAGGCCTTTTCTTCTCCCCTTTTCCTTTTCCTTCTCTTCTTCGTCCCCTTCTGTCCATTTATCCTAATCGCTAACTCACTTTTACCCTTTTTGCCTCAATAATTGATCATAGTGCTGTATCACCTTTGATATTTATCACATTTACTTGTTTTAACCATTAACCATTAACAGATTTTGTACCTCAAAAAATGGATATTTTTATTTCTTATGAAAGTCCTCCTGAAGTATTCTGTTGTGGATTCATACCATTCATCCTGCATCCCCCCCCCGTGTATCATCTCGTAAGTTCGTGAGAAGAGAGGAGAGAGGGAGGGAGAAGAAACAGAGGGAGAGGGAGAAGAAGGAGAAGGAGAAGGAGGAGAAAAAGGAGAAAGGGGAGAAAAAAGAGGAGGAGAAAAAGGAGAAGAATGAAAAGGAGAAAGAGGAGGAGGTGGAGGAGAAAGAGGAGGAGGGGGAAGAGACAGAGGAGAATAAGGATAAGGATAAGGAGATTAAGAAGAAGGCGAAGGTATAGAAAAGGGAGGAGGTGGAGGGAGAAAAAAGAGGAGGAGTAAGAGACAGAGAAGGAGAAAGAGAAGAAAAAGAAGGAGAAAGAGGAGAAGGAGAAAAAGGAGGAGGAGGAAGAGATGGAAAAGGAGAAGAAGAAAAAGGAGGAGAGGAAAAGAGGAGGAAGGAGAGAGGAAGAGAGAGGGAGCACTTTCCTTAACAACAGGCACATACCCTTTCATTAAACTTCATTTTCTTAGTATGTTTCAACCTGCTTTCACTGACATATGAGGCAGTATTTCTTTATTCCTTGCTTGGTGGTCATCTGTTTAAATTCCATAATTACATCTCTTATTCCATTTGTTGTTATGTAAGTTACAAGCACTATTTCTCCAGTGTCCAAACATTCACATACTGAACTAGATAATTATAGAGCATCTAGTCTGCTTTTCCAGGATGTTTGTAATGAATAATAAAGGTTAAGACATTTCCTTATAGTACTTTTTTTGTACTTGACAAACCCTAGTGTATTGTGAGTGATAGTCTCTTTGGATCAACTAATAATGTTTATGTAAATACAGTTTTTCCTTATCACTCAATACTGAAAATTTTATCATGGCTAAATTTAATAGAATCTTTTATGGTTATCTATCAGTAATGGTGACTTTAATACACAATTTTGTTATAAAATATCCCTACCCTTATCATGTCTTTGTTTTATTACTGTTGCTGTGATCAACCTATCTGTTTGAAGATCAGCTTTGGAGAAATAGTGTTCAACAAAACTATATCTATGAATATTACCATGTACTTGGAGAATACCAGGAAATATGTATATTTTTTGTGCCATAAGTGCTTTGCTTGCTTTGAGAAAACAACCCTCATAAATTTATGGTTTCTACATATGTAATCATACAGATACAAACATTAATATACATTATGTGTTTACTCTTTGTCAAATTCATCATTTATCAAGACCTAGAACGTTTAAATCACACCACTTCTCTCGGCATTTTTTTTTTCCTAAGAATTTTTATTCTGTTACACTGAGGAAGCTGGGCTGAGACTAATTTGTATTGTAACATAGACTAGATTAAATAGGAATACAAAATATAAAACAAAAAAGAGAATAAGATTGAGAAAAAACAATTGGTATCTTGATGGATAATATTTTTAGTTAACAGTGTTTATATATTAACAAACTGATGCTAGAATGGAATGTACATGCAAGCCATGTCCACTGCAATTTTTGTTTATTAGTTTTGTTTACACGCTGATGGCTTCACAAAAGCTTAATCACCAAGAAGTCACAATTAACAGTCCTACCCATATCACTTATTCATCCATTTTCTTTGATTTTTCAATTTAAAAAAAATCTTTTATTGCTATCACTATTTGCAATAACATTATACTAATCATAATATCAATAATATTGCTGATTACAGAATCAATATTAACATTAGAAAATAAACATTGTTCCCTGTTCAAGGAATGGGGAAACCAGGTAAGATTACACAGGGCCTACTTACTGAGTCCTTGGTGACTAAGGGTATGTGGAGCCATCTATGTGTCGGCAAAATTCACAAAACAATACTTCTGAGGACTGTACATCTAACTTCCACCGGTGGGTTAACAGGAAAAAATAAATAAATAAATAAAATGAGAAAATTAATAGAAATAAAAAAGAAATCTGGGAAAAAAAAGTCATTTGAACTTTGACAGAGCATGTACTACTTGACAATGCTAGGACTAAAGTATAACTGGGGGGAAAAAACAAACAAACTAAAGTGAATCACACCTATCAAAAAGAAAGAGAAAGAGAAAGAGAGAGAATGAGAGAAAGAGAAAGAAGAAAGAGAAAGAGAAAGAGAAAGAGAAAGAGAGAGAGAGAG